ATATTAAGTCAGTGCATTACCCTGCAGGAACAAGCATCAAATCTGTGAGCAGATCCTTCCACTTAGACTGCATAGATCAATTGTCATTATTGCAACAAGGAAAAGCACAGTATACCAATTTTAACCTTTTGCAGTAACTATGAAATATGAAGTACCTGTTCTGTTCCCCTGAAAGCAATAACAAGTCTTTTCCTTTCTGGGTCTCGCCAAATCGCCACCTGCATACCGTAGACAACCTACGATCACTCAAAAGTTTTTTTGTGATAATATAACCAGTATTTAATGGAATAACAATAGCGCTCGCTAGAGATTAGTAACTTGCCACCCAACTGTATATAACCAACACCAAGAATGGAAAAATCATATAGAAACTTGCCTGAGTATCCGTTTTTGCATTATCCAAAAAGCATATTTTTTCAAACTCGGATTTAATGAATGTTGGATGACCCAATGCATTTGCTAACATGGCCCAGGCCTCCATTGCACTTTCTGCTGTTGAAAAAAGTGCTCTCATCTCCTCTGCTTCCTTCTCACTCAATACTAATCCATTCGGCTGACTTATTGATGTTTGACTTTCGTTGTCTCCAGAAACCTCCGTTTTCGCTTCAGTTGAAGTATCATCACTCTTTCCAATTAGGCCTGTTCCTATGTTTAGTTTAGACACAGCAGCATTTACAACCATCAGTGCACCCAGAATGGAGTCGGTTTGCCATAATATATCTTGCGTCAGTTTCTTAATGTTGGGAAGAGATGTCTGCTCCTTTTTTGGTGACACTAACCCGTCCTTTATATCACCATCAACTGAACCTTGATTATTTGGAGTTGCAAGCCCAGACTCAACATAACTTGCATCCGCAATTTCACGTGACTGCAGGCCTATATTCTTTAATAAGTCGAAACCATCCCATTTAATTTTCTCAGGGGCAGGAAGACCAAGTTTCTGAACAACATTTTGACTGATTGAATCAGCTAACGTCTTCCAAAAGTGCTTGTCAGACCATGAATCTTCTCCAGCTTTGCTATCATCCAAGGATTCCTGCATATTATCAGTTACACTATTATCTGATTCAGTTTCTCCTATACTTTCGCCATAGTTCTGGGTTGGCTCGGAGTCTTCTTTATACTTCTCTTTCATGTCTGTCTTGAGATTAGGAGCACTGGTAGTTTTGGCATTTGAAAACCAGTCCTTCCCAATATACGAATCATTTATAGACTTTAGCTGTCCAAAAGCAAACTGTACAAACTCACGTGCTTGAACAGTTTCTGAACCCAAAATCATTCTGAGTGCAGGCTCCAAACCATTTTTCTGAAGAAATTCAGTTACAATAGGAATCTTCCACCAGTTCTTTTCATCGTCGATTTTCTCAAAACTCTTGTACTTGATCTGATACACATTTAGGATGAAAAGTTAAGTTCAATGCATTAAATGCACGCTCAAGTACATTTCTTCCTACATTTCTTCCTGTCCTGTCCTCTAGAGCGTTTCAGATATTCAATCTATTCCAGTAGGCATATGTGCATAGTCCGTCAACACTTTTACCATATCTTGAAACAATTTCATATTCCTACAGATACTTTAAATGCAAAATATTGCAAATCAACTTCATTTTCTTTTGAATAAATTTTATTCCCAGCTCAGACTCGAATTCGTAATTTTTGCATTGAATTCAAACTTTTAAAGATTTTTTAATACTTTTTAAAGTGAGTGTCTTTAGTGAACTTTGTGGATTTTGTGAAACTTTAATGGCTTTGGTCGTCATTTCTGATATTTTTATATAGAATTCATATCAGGGACTTTTTAAAACATTAATCATGTATTTTTTTTTTTAAATTTATTGAGACTTATATACTTAAACAATAATTAAATATGTTTGCATAAGTGTTCATGAACCCTGCATCATAACTAATATCAACAAATTCTAGTCTTTTTAAATGTTAAATTGAAATGAATTCAAATAGTAAACACCACTGAGAAAAATGTTTTGCAACATTACAGTTGCGTAAGTAAAAGAATAATAAAATAATCCTCTTAACAATTTTGAATCAACTATAGCATGTATTCGGGAACACAACTCAGTTATGCTCAAACTCGACTCTTTTGTTTTGTTAAATGAAACAACCAAGTGAGAACGAACCAATGAATTTGTTACAAACCACTCATTTTAAAAAAAAAAAATATGCAATTTTAGTAAAATACGCAATCGTGTCGAACTTGATTACAAATATATTTATTTTCACGAGCAACTCGTTTAGGGTAAAGTTTATTAATGAGTCGAACCGACCCGAGCTTTCACAAGCTTCAATCAATCGAGCTCGAGCTGAGCCTTATTTTCATTTATTAAATGAGCACAAGCTCAAACATGAGCTACTCATGTCGGATAGCATGACACTCATAATCAACCTGGCTATGACATATTATGTGATTATTATTAAATTTTATTATGATTTACGAGACATATTTTTTTTGTATTTACGAGACATTTTTTGTATTTACGAGACATATTTATGTGACATATTTAAACATGAGCTACTCATATTTTTTTTTTATATTTGTATCATGTTGCAGTATTTGAAAAAGATTATTAGGATATATATTTACGAGACACAAACATCGTTAAAAGACAGTGATGAAAGTAAATTCTTAACCGGTGCAAACTATACAAACATTTGACTTTTGAAAAGTCAAATTCACAAGAAAGCAAGCAAGTGAGAGGATAAAAGTAAACATACAAAAATAACCATAAAAAAAATACGTTAAACATTTGTGATGAAAAATAAATTATACAAGCTATCAAAATAAATTAATAAAATAATAGAGTATAAAAGTAATGAATATATGGTTTTCATATAAAGTTGTGTACATGAAACCTTATAGGAGAAAGAGAATCACATAAGTCGAGCAAAATGTCATCAATTTAATGAGATTTCTACTATGAAAAAGGTCTCCAAAAGTATTCCACTTTAAAAAGTCTCATAAAATTTTTCATGATTTGAATATCGGGTGACTTATTGAGACCTCAAAAAATTTCAATCGAATACCTTGAGACTTTCAGATATTTATAAAAAGTCTCAAATGAATACAAGTAGAATTTTTAGAAGTCTCAAAATGTTTCAACTGAATACACTAAAATTTCAAAAGTTTTAAGAAGTTTCAACTTAATGCATCCTCCTCATATCGTTTCTTTTTCGCATTATCTCAATAAATAAAATTAAGGAATTTAGCTTTCGCATATAATAACACATGTTACTTAAAATACACGGGAATCCTAAGAACTGTATGTGTTTTTCAGTTCTTACAAATGATCTAACAATAGAAAATTACAATAGAACTGACAATAAATTACATCTTAGAAATACGGAAAGATTTTAGCCGAGGCGAGTAAACTCTTTCTGCAAGACGAATACGCTGTGTAGTGCTAACGGTTCAGGCATATCGTCCTCAAAATACAACGGCGATCGTCTCGAAATCTGTAGCACACCAAATTTACGAGCTCCAGAGTGAACTGGAACGGAGTCCAGTCCTCAAAATACAACGTCTCGAAATTTGTAGCACACCAGATTTACGAGCTCAAATTGGAACGGAGTCCAGGATTGAGCACTTAAAATAGGAATAAAATTAAAATTATTTCTCTTTTGCTATTTTGATAACAGATAATTTTTATATTTGCTTTTATCTCTATTTTTCTATTTTTCCCCGTACTTTTCTTTTTTTTTTAGAGTTTTTCTTCGTTGTTCTTTCTTTTTGTGTATCTCTTTAATAAGCAAAATGAACAATATGTATAGAGGAGAGAGAGCAGTTAATGTCTTGCCGTACCGTTAATGCCTGACCATACTTCATTATTACACCCAAAAATTATTAAGACAAGTTGACAAGTTTGTTAGGAATGGCAGAGGAACACGTATTCAGTTGCAAATTGGCCAAATTGATTTAATAAATTATAATGGTGGGATCCACATCTATTAATGGGACTCAATTATTTTTTACAATCCACCACATGAGTTTCATTAAAAAATAATTGAGTTTCATTAATAGATGTGAGTCCCACCATTATAATTTATTAAACCAATTTGCAACTCAATACGCGTGAAGATTCCTCTGCCATTTGATCACATGATCCCTAACAAACTTATCAACTAGCCTTAATAATTTTTGTTGTAATAATTGAGTATGGCCTGTTGTAATAATTGAGTATGAGTATGGTCAGGCATTAACTGTATGGACACGCATTAACTGCTCTCTCTCCTCATTGTTCATTTTGCTGATAAAAGAGATACACAAAAAGAAAGAACAACGGAAGAAAAACTCTGAAAAGAAAAGAAAATAAAAGTACAAGAAATAATTGTTGTGGGAAAAATGGAGATAAAAGCATATATAAAAATTATCTGTTATCAAAATAGCAAAAGAGAGATAATTTTATTCCTATTTTAAATGTTACTCAGTTCCAGTTCGCCGGAGCTCGTAAATCTGGTGTGCTACAGATTTCGAGACGATCGTCGTTGTATCTTTGGGGACGATACGCCTGAACCGTCAGCACTACACGGGACGTATTCGTCTTGCGGAAAGAGTTTACTCGTCTCGGCTAAAATCTCTTCGTTTTTCCAAGTTGTAATTTATTTTCAGTTCTATTGTAATTTTCTATTGTTAAATCATTTGTAAGAACTGAAAAATAGTTCGTAGGATTCCCGTGTATTTTGACACACATATTTCTAACATAAAAATGGATCGACATTGCCGAAGCATGATAATATCTTGATTTCCAACAACAAACTTACCTCAACTTCTATCTTCCCACCGCCTCCCATCCCTTCCAAGTCAAGAAGCACTTCATGCAAATTTCCTAGTAAAGTAGAGTTCAATATTTTACAATTGAGTACGCATCTTATATCAGAAATGATCATATGCAACTTATGAGCAAAATGTTTTGTGTAAGTGTAGACAACAAAATCTAATAATTTATTAGTTAATATTTTTACTTATTTATGGACATAAATCCAAGATAAATAAAATATTTGATTAATATAGTACTATTTCTTGTACATCGAGTCAAATTTTATGATAAAGAAAAATCTTTGAATAAGAAAAGAGATTATATCAAAGACCGATCAAATTGATGTCTTCTTCATCAAGACTCTCTACACCTCACAATTACACCTCTCAATTCAAGTCTCAAATTGAAGAACTCTCAAGAACTCTTTTGAATTTATTCAAAAGCATTTTTGAAGATTTGAAGACGTTTTTTATGGTCCAAGTTGAAAATCAACGTTCAATCCGAAATTAAGTGTCCGAGCCTCCGAAGTACGGAAGAAGAAAAAGAGGCGGCCAGTCTACTTCTCTAAGTGGTAAAGAGACGACAACCGCTTCTTTCAAGTCAAATCCAAACAAATCAAAGGTGATCAAGCGACATTCAAGCCAAAGTTCAAGCAATAAAGTGTTTGATCCGTGAAAGCACTATCAAACCCTCGAGTCAACGTTATGCAAGTCTGAATTTGAAAGTTCCAAATTCAAATTCAAGAGCAGAAGAATCGGAGGAGATAAATATAGATTGTAAGTGTATTATTGTATTATCGTTTGATCGAAATATAATCAAATTGTACAAAAGTTTTAATTCATTGTCACAAAAAGATCATATAATTTTATTTTATTTTTAATTTTGATAACAAGGGTTCTCTGTCCAATCCAATACATATTATATTTGTGCAGAAATGAAATCTCAAAGTCCACTGAAATTTGAATTTTAAGAGATTTATTTCTAGTAACATTAACATGGTAATGAAGTGGTTAAACAATACCGTCACAGAGGCTCTCCAAATCAATACAGGCATTCCCCATGCGTTTGTGAGGAGTCACTAGATTTGCATCCCAAGCTGCAACCTAAATGTTCATATCAATAATAGAAGCACACATGCACAAAAAAGGAAAAAAGAATGTTACAATATGAAGGCAAGAGATTGTCTGACATCACATCACATGGGAAATTTCTGTCTCAATGAACACAAACAATGTTGAAATTCTTCAATCTATTTCTGGTATATTATGAATCATCCAAGGAAAAAGGATGATAAATGTTAAAAACTACCCTTAGAAAAGATAAATATTTTATGCATGCATGAGGCCTGTCATCAACCTATCATAGATAATAAACAGGCCATTCTAAATCAAAAGAATTTAAACTCAAGTGCGAGGAAAATCTAGAAAATGTGTATCCACTTTTACCAAATAATATCCACAGCCAATGTGTCCATATTTCATGGCAATTAACAACCATCTTAGCATGTGAAACTATAATATCCTACATATAAAATATTTCTTAGGAAGTTAGTCAGAGTGCATCTATAAGATACCCCCATTGTAAAAAGATTTTCCTACCAAATTAGAAGCTACTATTCTTTGAAATAACTGAGTAACAATAAAATCATCTAAATGTATAATTAAAAACTTTCCAATAATTGAATGTACTGTATGAAATGGCATGTGATTATTTTTAAGCTTAATAACATTATTATTTGTTATCCAATTTTCATATGTAATACATCAAATTAAAAATGTTTTGATGATCTACAATTCGATGCTTTTAGGATGCATATATGAATTAAAAAATATTTTTTTGATCCTTATAAAAATAAATTAAGATTTGTTTATTAATCTTAATTTTAAAATAACAAATTAGCCAAATATTATCTCATAAAAAACTATAAATGCAATATACATATATAGCATAAACAAACATAAAATAATTAGTGTGCTAGATTTGTCCCACATAGGATTGAAAAACTGATGTGGAGAAGCTGTGAATTTGAAATTAGATACAAACAACCATCACATTAAAAGTATGTTTAATCATATAATATATATATATATATATAAATTAAAAATAAGAGGAAATTACAAGATAATTTATAAATGTCACGATCAAAAATCATAATATTTGGAAACTTTTAAATAATATACCAAACATATTAATCACATATTTATCAAATAATTAGATTGGAGAATATTGTGATGATTGTAATAAAAAAGAATCGTGTCATATTACACAAAATTATATATAATTCATTATTCTCTATAGCAATAACCCCTAAAACTAACATGAATTTACGGAATCTTTCAACTCCTAACAGAAAAGGACTATATATGTCCGTTTGTTACAACTGCTTTTAATTAAAATTAATCAATAATAATACGGGAGTGACTAAAGAGATCAATGATATAAAAAAACAGGTGAATATAGAACGTGTACATTAGGGGGAGAGAGAGAGAGAGAGAGAGAGAACACTATGAAGATGGAATAAAACGATTACATGATATATAACGACCTGAAGATTATGCATTGGCGGCTGCTTCATATTGAAAGCAAACTCCTCGTTCCATGTGGGTTCTTTCGTCCTGAAATTTTTTTCATTGAATTAGTTACTTCACTGTAGGCATCAAGATCTTTCTTGTAAAGCAAAACAAAGAGGATCAATCAATTCAACGTCATGCACAGATGAGCTTCTAAGCAGGGCCTAGAGGGGCGTTATCTCTTATGTTGGTGTCGAACAAGTTAATTTTAGGTAATGCAACTTTTAGGCACATCCAGCCAAAGGAACAGAACATGTCATTCTAGTAAAGTGCGATATATTATCCTTCTGTTTAGATGCAGACTATTGTCTGTTGGAGTGACACCAGTTGTTAGTTCACTGCTTAGACAAAAATATTATCAATCAAATAGATATAGATTAAAAAATAAAGAAAGAAAAAAAAAATTAACAAACACACAAGCTACTTACCCCCATCTGACCTTGCTTTTTAGTAGCTGACTATCCAATTGCAAGATTACATATGGGTCACTAGTCCCCTGAGAATAAAGCAATAACAAGATCACTTAAATCCCAGTAAGACTCTCAAGAAGGTATTAAACTACATTAATTATTGAGGTACAAAGAATTGAAGAACATTACCCTACCCAAGGATCCATTGCGGGGAAATTGAAGCCTTTGTTTAGTTTCACAAATAATTGTCCATCATAAATTTCTCGCAGGAATGACCTGAAAAATATCAGTTAAATCTTTGAAAACAGAAAGAAAGGTGTTAAACTTCTGAGAAGCTAGAAAAGTTATGGTTACTTGTACTTGTAGAAAGAGCTTGGTTCTCTATGCTAAAGCATTTTTCTATATCGCAATTGGTAGCAACTTTTCTGAATAATAGACGGTGTCATTTTAAAATTTATGGTTTCGGTTCAACTCATTCAACCTAATGCATAAAGGTACACTGTATAATACATATTTCATGTACACCCACATACACATCGGATATGCTTTTGTTCCTTTGAATTTTACAAAATTAAATGCATGCAGATAAGCCATATGTTCATCTCATGAGAAAAAGATGTAGGATACGCTAGCTAGCTATAGCTATTGAGCCATGAAAATTCCTCAAAGCAGATAACTTGTGTTTTACGAGCTGGCCTTGTAGAACTTGCTTTGATGCTTGGACCAAGTGAAACACTCTTATGTTATATCTTCCTTTACTTTACATCGACTTTTTATTTGTATAAATCACCAAAGATGGCTCCTTAAAACCTTACCGTCCTGCCTAACGTCATTTCATTACTGAAAAATAACAAAAGCCCGAAAGTTGTCCTTCTAGCATTATAGGACGACAAGGAAAAACTCAACAATTGATGAAATTATAAAGATCACAGTGAAAATAGTTTTGAATATTTGATGATGTTTGCTTGCATAAAAATTCACATATAGATTGATTTCACCAATGACGCTTATACAGGATTGTCAGGTCATACCAATTGAAGAAGCTGAAAAGAAAAGGTTTCAACTATCGTATATACAAGAAAGAAGTGCAAGGCAAGGTAACATACCTTTCACAGTTGAATTTCACAAACCAATTCTTTCAATTGAATTTCACAAACCAATTCTTTCAAAAATTAAAAGAGGTACCACGCAACTTATAGAGTTCAAATTCAATAACACAAAAGCAATTTGAAAGCACATTATATAGAGTATGCTATACTAGGGAACCTTAAGTTGTGATGACAACTAATACTATCTAGAAACTAAAAACAAACTACATGATTCCAACTGACAAAAATACTTAAGATTAGTGTTTTGTTCACTGATCTCCAAAATCAGATTAGTGTTTTGTTCACTGAACTCCAAAATCCAAAGAGAGAATAAATCATCAGCCTAGAATCCTCATCATAACAAATCAAGATTGTTATAAGTTCATTTTATTTTTATTTGTTTTAAGGAAACACATACTCCGAGAGGAAGACTGTCTGGCACTGTGCTGCATCCATTTCACGCTTGTAGACTTCTTCCTAATATATATGGACAGATATAAGGATCAAAATGAGAAAACAATGAATGGTTGACCACACCGCAGCTAAATGCAAAGTCACAAGATGTTTTAACATAATTTCATTTACCCGATTTCCACAATTTCAGAATAGAAGCCAGAGCAGATCCAAATAATTAGAATCGGAATCAATTCAAAAGAGGTTACTGATTTATTTATTTTTTTCAAATCTCTATAATGAAAATGAGTCCATCGCAATCAACATAGAAGGCAAAATTAATCGAAAGCAGAAAATCATACATAANATCGAGGGAGAAGAGAAATACAGGCGGAGTGGTGTAAGCTTCAAATGCAAAACCAGCCAAAAGGACAGCCAAATTGATGTCAAACGGCGGCCTCTCGTTCAGAGTGTCCCTGGGAGCTGGCTTCGCAATCTCAGCACTGCCATTGCTAACAGTACTGCTTGTACGGTAGTAGCGACTGGATCTGGAGCGCAGCTCAGTGCTGCTAAATTTGTGCGAGAGAACGAGCTTACTGGAAAAGGAGAAACAGTGAGGATTCCTGAAGTGAATGAGATTGGGCGAGTTGCTGGAAGGCAGAAAGCGGGAGTGAGACTGCAGCGCGGCCATGGACGGAGATGAAGCTTTTTTGTTGTTTTGCTCAGGGATAAGAGGGATTGGGGAATCTGGAAACAGTTTTTGAGAGGATTACTTATGATGAGAGTTTGAAGAGTAGTGCATGTATCCTTCGTATTGATGTATGGCGTGAGTGCACTTGAGAAAATGAGAAAATGGTTGAAACAGAATGTACTGGAAAATGTGGAAACTGGGCGGGCGGGGCGCCCATAGATATAGCAGATCCAGTGAAGGACATAACGGTTATTATATTATTTTTTACCCCGTCCAAGTAAATGTGGTGGGATTTGGCATTTTGGTGGGCGCCAATAGAGAGATGTACCCCCTCCACCTTTTTTAAAATATTATTTACATAATATGGATGATTAATTAAACTACAATTGTTATTTATGTTTTTTTTTTGTTTTACTAAGTCCATCTCCAATAAAAAAATTCATTCTCAAATTCATTTTACAGTAACTGCCACAACAAACAGTAATTCTTTTCAACCGATAGACTCATTCCCTAATCCAAAAAAATATTTTCGAAATATTTTCTTTTACATCAACTTTTATAACATTTCAATAGCACCCCCCATATTTAATAACTTTACAAATTAGAGTCAATATTATTTTATATTCAAATTAAAAAAAAACTATAACAAATTATTATAGAGTGATAATTTGTACACAACAAAATATTGGAATACATAATTTTTCAATAAGTCAAAAATTAATTTTTTTCTCATTGTAATTTAGAAATTATTTTAGCAAGCTTGTTTGAATCTATTGCCAGTCTTTTAATGGAATGTTGATAAATTTCACTAGATTAAATTTATCATTTGATATGCATAATATATACATATATATATATATATATATATATATATATNCACACACACAATTATCACACACAAAAACACATTCGGCCGTCCCACCACAGCCGTCGCCGGGGTCTTACTCGCACACCGCCCGTCGGAGCATCGTCGCCGCCGCCAGCTGACCTCCGCGCAGAAACACATCCGGCTGTGCCCCGTCGCCCGCGCCGTCCCCCTTCGCCGGCGTCATCCCCGTCGAATGCGCCGTCCCCCGTCGCTCGGGTCGTCTCCGTCGCCCGGCGCCGTCCTGCGTTGGTCGCATCGTCACTCAAGCGCCTTACCGCCGCCTCAACTCCCGTCTGAATCGTGTCTGCCGACAGCCTAGAAGCCGCTGCACTTCACTAGGTACAGCCGCTGTCGGAAAAATCGACCTTCAAGCTCGAAGGTCGAGCTTCAATAGCAGAACTAAAAAATAAATAAATAAATAAATAAAAACTAATAATCTGTAACGCCCCGTTATTTTTAAGAGAAAAATGACATTTTATTTTTTCAAAAATCAGAGTTGATTTTTTAAAAATCAAATTAAAGATTTATTTTAACCGGCGCTACCCGAAACAATCACATAACAATCATCCCGATCATATATATATATATATATATATATCATGTCAAACAATAACATTTATTCAATTATATGAAATACTCGAATCAAATTCAACATGATCAATTTATCTAACTCCAAAGTCATAACAATAATCCGAATCCGAAACAAGAATTTAAAATCCCAAATAACATATTGAGTCTCCAAACGGGAATAAACAAGTCTAACATGAGATAATCAAATAATAATAATATAGCGGAAGCAGGTAAAAAGCAGTTCAACGCAATTAATGATCCCGCCTCGCTTGTCTTTCACCACGGCTACCAGCTCAACCTGAAAAGATGGTTAATAGTGGGAGTGAGCAAACAACTAGCTCACCATGGGAATACCATGCAGTATAATCAATATAAAGACTTAAAATCATAATCGCAGCATGAATGAAAATCACCTTACCTATCTCTTGTCTCACCCTATGCTCATATGTACACACTCTTGCACGGGACCAAGTCTGCTCTTGTCTATGCTCATATGCCACACTATTGTACGGGACTAAATCCGACTTACCTTATGCTCATATGTACACACTCTTGCACGGGATCTAATCTGGCATGTCCTATACTCATATGTACACACTCTTGCATAAAACTCACCCTAGCTATGCCCTATACTCATATGCACACACTCTTGCACTAGGGTTCAACTCAATAGATAAGTGGTTCACGCGCATACATTAATTATCAAGCCAAGCATTTACAGAAATTAACATACAAGGTAAGTTTATCAACACCCACCTGATCAGTTCGAAGCAAACAAATCACACGATCAGACGAAAATGGTAGGCTGAGGCTCGACTCCTCAAACATCTACAATTAGGGATTTAATTATTATTAAGGGTTTCGATTCGGTTGATTAAGCAACACTACAACAGCAAGCATAACACACAACAAGAACAACAATTAACCAGGCAAGGTACATGGCTAAAACAACATACTCGCCTCCCTTATCCTCTTTCATTTCTCAATTTACAAGCACAACATACATATAGGTCTTTCTCTTCTCTTGTCCTTACTTCTCTTACACTCAAAAGGCCTCAAAATTGAACAACAAAATTTGGAACTTAAAACATGTTCATAGCCTATAATAATTGTAAGACCAGGCCTCAGAAATTAATGCAACAAGCAGGGTACAAGGCAAAGCAACACAACCTTCTTTCCTCAAGTTCAAACAAGACAAATAAAGGTCATACTTGTTGAGTTTTAAACTTTGAAAAGTAACACAATTTCGGCATAGAAACAGTACAAATACAGGCTTTGCTAAATTGATCAAAAAACGAGTTAAACTTCAACTTTCCTAAATCAAACTAAACATGTCTTTATCTTAACTGACTAGCATCACCAAACTCGCTTTATCAGCGCATAAGCACATAAAAAGAAAATTCGCAATATCAAGACTCCACCATAATCATATCAATCAAGGCTTCAACAATTAAACAATGAGACATCAAATTCTAAAATAAAAAAAACTCAACTGCAAAGAAAAGAAAACTAGGCTATAAACCATTAATACAGCTTAACATCTTTAATCAAATAAACAAATCAAAACTAGACCTGACAAATCATTACATATGCACATAGAGAATTTAACTTTAAGCTCTCATGGCTTAACTGATTCACAGCCAAAATCACCCACACAACAGGCAATAACAGACGCACATGACTACTAAAATCGGCAGAAAATAGGGGTATAAAGGTTTGGCTTATCGAAACCAAAATCTTAATTTTCAATTAAACTCAAGAGTCGGGTTAGCCAATATACCTTGAGTCGGAGAAAAGGAACGAAATCGTCAGGAGAAACAGGTGACTCAGTCGACTCTGTGGTGCTGTGAAGTCGTCGGTCGGGGTGCTGTGAAGGCTGATCGCCGGTCGAGGGCAGAAATCGAGGTCCATCTCGAAACGGTCGCCAAATGGAGCTCTCATCCCGGCTCGGATGACTGCTGAGAAAAGCTCGCCGCTGCGTGTGAGCAGGGTTGCGGCTCAATGGGAAGAGTTCTAAAAGTATCAAACAGAGCCTGAAGTTGAGGGTTGCGGCTCGTCACTGTCGAGTCCACCGAAAGCTCAGCGTGACCGAACGATGGTCACATGACGGTGGTGAAGCTCGTCAGGAGTCGAGACTCATCACGACTAGAGGAAGAACTCGAACTCGCCGAAAACCGCTGAAATGCCGGGATTCAAAATCGCCGGACAATGGTCGGGACTCGCGAATCTGGTGCTCCTGGTTCGTCTTTGATGATGTCTGGTCGTGTGGAAGATATCCCGGTGAAACTCGAGACCCGTCACTCGCGGTGGCTGAAGGCGGTTGATGGGCGGACGTCGACGGTTGCTTCTGACCGGTTCTCGGCGACTGATGGCAGGAGAACGCCGGCGAAGGGCTCGACGAGGCTGGGACACCGTCGGTCAGCGGCAGTTTCCTTGTGCGTGCGGTCAGGTTACAACGATAGAGAAGAGCTTCGATCGATCTTGAAGGTTAATCGATCGAGAAAAGTTGGGGAGAAATCTCCCATTGTTGCTGCGACATAGCGAGAGAAAAAGAAATTGAACGAACAGAAAGAAAATGAGTTGCGGTGAAAAGAAATAAGATCCATAATTAAGGAATAAAAACAACAGAATATGAAAGAGTAAAACAAGCCATTAACGTTGTTTTTTTCACAATATTCTGCAGAAGGCATGAAGTACAATATTTATACAAGCTCTAAGAATATAACTGCCTAAGTTAGTTATTGCACTAAGAGAAAATGCAGGAAACTGAACACAACTGCCTAAGAATACAACTGACTATAGAGAAGAAAACATGCACACGTCCAGCACTTAATTCTAACAGCCCCTCTCAATCCAAACCAGGTTGAGGTATGACAGTAAGCTTGCTTTTCATTCTGGTGAAGGATTGACCAGATAAAGCTTTAGTGAGCACATCAGTAGTTTGATCAATAGAGGGAACATGTTGAACTCTTAACTGATTTGCTGCCACTTTTTCTCTTATAAAATGAATGTCAAGTTCTATGTGCTTGGACTTTGAATGCATCACTGGATTTGATGCAAGAACTTCAGCTCCTACATTGTCAATCCAGATTGTAGGAGTTCTTTGAATAGATATCTTTAACTCTTTCAAAAGAGCCTGATCCACAACATTTCAGAAGCACATTGAGCAAGACTTCTATACTCGGCTTCAGTGCTAGATCTTGACACTGTAGTTTGCTTCTTTGAACACTAGGAAATTAGATTAGCATCAAGAAAAATACAAAATCCAGAAACTGATCTTCTATCATCAATATCGGTTGCCCAATCAGAGTCTGAAAAACCTGTTAGATTAAGAGAGCTGCCTTTGTCGATCTGAATTCCAAAGTTTTGAGTGGATGCAACATATCTAAGAACTCTTTTAACACATTTCCAATGAGTATCCAAAGGTTGTTGCATATATTGACTTAATTTATTCACACTAAAGGAAATATCAGGCCTGGTTAAGGTAGCATATTGTAAGCGTCCAATAATGCTTCTATAAAGCTTCACATCCACTTCAGGTTTTCCAATGTACTTGGACAGTTGAGAAGAGGAGACCATTGGTGTTGGACACCCTTTGTTTTGACTCATATTATCCCTTCTTAGCAGTTCTTTTATATAAGACTTCTGGCATAAATGAGCACCTTGAGTATTGTGAGTGATCTCAATACCAAGAAACTGATGCACTTTTCCAAGATCTTTCAAAGAAAGCTCTCTGTCAAGATTGTTAATGAGCTGAGAAATCTCACTTGAATTACTACCTGTGACAAGAATGTCATCCACATAGACTAGAAGAATGAGGCAAGAGCCATTACCAAATTTGAAGTAAAGAGTGTTATCAGCCATTGAGCAAGATAAACCAAAAGTCTTAAGAATTGATCTCAGCTTTGCAGTCCATGCTCTAGGTGCCTGTTTTAAACCATATAAAGCCTTAGAAAGCTTACAAACCATCAAGGAAGATCCTTCTTGAAAGCCAGGAGGCTGACTCATGAAGATTTCTTGATCAAGATCTCCATTTAAAAAGGCATTATTGATGTCGAGTTGCCTTATATCCCAACCAAAACTGACAGCAAGAGAAAGAACAATTCTAACTGTAACTGATCTTACAACTGGACTAAAGGTGTCAAAATAATCAAGTCCAGGTGTTTGAGTAAATCCTCTAGCCACCAACCTTGCTTTATATCTTGTTATGCTTCCATCAGAGTGCTTCTTAAGTCTAAAAACCCATTTACAGTCAACAATATTCTTATCAACTGGAGCATTTGTCAACTTCCGGTGTTGTTCTTCTTCAGAGCTCTCAACTCTTCTTCCATTGCTCTCTTCCAAATAGGATTATTAAGAGCTTCATCAACATTCTGAGGTTCTTTTTCCTCATCATAAGCAGAAACATACACCTTGGGTTTAGATATCCCAGCTTTAGCTCTAGTGATCATAGGATGAGCATTATTGTGAGATGGCTCAGATTGAATGCTTCTCTCAACAGGTAATTCAAGAGGAATGGAATCATGGGTTCTTTGAGTATGAAGATTTGAAGATGAAGAGTTAGAAGGAATAGATGAAGGACTAGTGTTTGAATGGTGACTGGTTGTATTTGACTGAGGTGAATAATTGTTCTGAACAGTTTGAAGAGGAGGTATTTTAGAGTGTTCCTTAACAATAGGAAATTAGAGTACGGGTATTTGGGTTGCTACAAAATCATTTCGAGCATTATCACAAGTTTCCTTTTTATGCTTTTCTATATAGGGAAATCTGTTTTCATAGAAAGCAACATGTCTGGTGATAATGGTTTTCCCAGAAGGCAACAAGATTTTGTAACCTTTGTAACCAGGACAATAACCAAGAAGTGTTGAAGGAGCAAACCTATATTGAAGTTTGTGAGTGTTCATTGGTCTGAGGTAAGGAAAGCATAAACACCCAAAAGTTTTGAGAAGTTTGTAGTTGGGTTTTTATTGATACAACATTTCATAAGAAGACTTGAATTGAAGAGTTTTGGTAGGAAGTCTATTAATAAGATAAAACAGAAGTTCTGAAAGCATCTAACCAGAAAGATTGAGGTATACCAGATTGAGCCAACAATGCCAAGCCAACTTCAACCACATGCCTGTTCTTCCTTTCAGCTGTGCCATTTTGCTGAGGTGTATAGGGACAAGAGATCTTATGAACTATCCCATTATCTTTAAAAAATGTGTTTAAACTTATGTATTCTCCCCCCCAGTCAGATTGAATGACTTTGATTTTCTTGTTGAACTGAGTTTCTATCATGGTTTTGAACTGAATAAATACACTGTGAACTTCAGATTTATTTTTCAGAAAATAAAGCCAAGTGAATTTGGTGAGTTGATCAATGAAGCGTATATAGTAACTATGACCTGTTTTAGTTTTTACTGGAGAAGGGCCCCATAGTTCTGAATGAACAAGTTCAAATGGTTCATGATAGGAAGTAGATGAATCATCAATAGGTAATCTATGAGACTTTGCTAAATGACAAGCATCACAAATGGAAAGAGCACTTTTCTTAGTATCAATGGCAGGATTACAATGAGAGACAACTTTAGCAACAATGTCAAAACTAGGATGAGCTAATCTTTGATGCCAAATGTCTAAGTCCTCTTGCCTTTTTGAATTGGAGCTGCTCCTACTGGTAGAAGAAAGGTAACAGGTGAATGACTGAAGTTTGATTCTTGACGTTGTGGTGAAGTTGGCAAGGTGCTTGTCAAATCTAACTGATATAGCCCCTCTTTCAATGTCCCCTTGAGAAGTGTTTGTCCTGTAGACTGATCCTTAACACACCAAAAGTCAAGATAGAATTCAAAGAAGCAGTTATTATATCTTCAAAACTGAGATACACTAATTAAATTCTTGGTAATTTTAGAACACAAAGCAGGTTTTTTAGAAAAAGAGACTGGTTAAAGTAGGGACCTTTAATATTAAAATGACCTATATGAGAAATATTCAGACCTGAGCCATTACCAATATGAAGCTTATTATTCCCTTGATACTCAGAGGCTAAGTTGAGATTAGCAAGTTCATCAGTGACATGATTTGAGGCACCAGAATCAGGATACCAAGAGTTTTCAGATGGAGCAATATCATGATTTGTGACTACAACATTCATATTTTGGTTGTTGAAAGATCTGTTGCCACTAACTTGATTGTTCTTGAACTGAGAAGATGTAGGATTGTGTTGAGGTGGACCATAAGAAGGATCAAACCTGTAGTAACATCTGTCTGCAGTATGATTGTTTCCATGACATACTTGACAAACCATTCTAACTCTACCTCTTCCTCCTCTATAGCCACCTCTAAAACCTCTTCCTCTTTGAGTAAAGCCTCTGCCTCTTCCATGTTGGCCAAAAGAGTTGTACTCCTTTTTGTTTTGAGTTTGAGTGACAACATTTGCAATTGGATTAACTTCTTCTTCAACTAATTTTGTATTATCAATTCTGCTCTCAACACTCAACAAAAGAGCATGAACATCCTGAAGAGAGAAGTCTTCAATTCTGGAATTTATACTTACCACAGCAGCATCATAATCACTTCCAAGGCCAGTTAAGACATGCATAATGTGATCATCTTCAGGTATAATCTTACCAGCTGAGGCCAAAGCATCACAAAGACTCTTCACTTTACTCAAATATTCTCTCATAGATAAAGATCCTTTCTTTAGGCTTTGAAGCTGAGATTTGTACTGCATGATTCTAGCTCTAGACTGACCAGAAAAATTTGTTTGAAGAGCAGTCCACATTTTCGAGGTAGTATTCAAACCAACCATCAAGGACATAATACTTTCAGATAAAGAGGAGAGAAGCCAAGAGACCAGATGTTGATCTTGCCTTTCATAGGTTATGAACTCTGGATTTGGAACTGAGATACCTTCTTGAAGCACAACCTGAGAAGGTGATGATTGTTCACCAAAAAGAAAC